TTTGGTTAGTCTGCGTCCCTTGCAATTTCATATGAAATTTGGTACTAGCTTGTAAACTACAAAATCAGCTGGAGATTTGATAAGGAATATGTTGAGTCTGTGGATCAGTTCGAGAAGTATTGCCATCTCAACAATATTAAGTCTCCCAACCCATGAGCATACAATATCTTTCCATTTATTTAAATCTTCTTAATTTCTTTTAGATATTTTGTAGTTTTCAGTATACAAGTCTTATTCTTGTTAAATTCATACCTAAACATTTTGTTCATTTTGATGCTATTATAAATAAAATTGTTTCCTAATTTCACTTTCAGATTGTTCATTGCTAGTGTATAAAATACATTTTATATTTGTGTATTGAACTGTATCCTGTGCTTGTCTATTAGTTCCTATAGTTTATTAGTGGATTCCTTGGGGTTTTCTAGCTACAAGGTCATGTCATCTGCAGATAGAGATGGTTTTACTTTTTCCTTTCCAATATGAATGTCTTAGATTTCATTTTATTTCCTAATTGCTCTTGCTATAATTTCCAGTGTTGAATCAAACTGATGAGAATAGCTATTCTATACATGGTGTTTCCTGATCTTGGGAGGAAGACCTTCAATCTTTCATGTATGATGATAGGTATGTCAGTATGATGTTAGCTAGGAGTTTTTAATAGATAAACATGATTGTGTTCAGGAAGATCCCTTTTAGTTCTAGTTTGTTTAGTGTTTTATCATGAAAGAGTTTTGAGTTTTGTCAAATGTTTTTCTGCATCTATTGAGATAACCATGCAGTTTTTGTCCTGTCTTCTGTTAAAATCATTTACATTAGTTGATTTTGGGTGGTAAACCAAAAATTTATCCACTTGGTCATGGTGCATAACATTTTTAAATATTGATTTTCTTATTTGCAAGGCAGAGTTAGAGAGAGAGAGAAATCATTCTTCCATCTGCTGTTTCACTCCCCAGATGGCTGCAATGGTGGGGCTGGGCCAGCCTTAAGCCAGCAGCTCCATCCTAGTCTCTGCCTTAGGTGGCAGGGGCCCAAGCACTTGGGTCGTCATTCACTGCTTTCCCAAGTGCATTAACAGGGAGTGGGATCAGAAGCAGAGCAGAATGGACTTGAACTGATGCTAATATGGGATGCTAGCATCAAAGGCGCTGGTTTAACCTGCTGCACCACAATGAGAGCCCCTGTATAATTTTTTAAAAAATATCTATTTGAAAGGCAAAGTTACAAAGAGAGAGGAAGAAACAGACACAGAGAGAGAATCTTCCATCCACTGTCTCACCCCTCAAATGGCCACAACAACTGGAACTGGGCCAGTCCAAAGCCAGGAGCCAGGAGCTTCATCCAGGTCTCCCATGTGGGTGGCAGGAGCCCAGCTACTTGGGCCATCTTCTACTGCCTTCCAAGCACATTATGCGGAAGCTAGTCTGGAAGTGGAACAACCAGGACACAAACCGACATTCACGTGGGATGCTGGCATTGCAAGCAGTGGTTTAACCTGTTGTACCACCACTCTGGTCCCTAACTTTTTTTATAGGCTGCTGGATTCAGTTTGCTAGTATTTTGTTGAGGAACTTTATGCCTATATTCATAAGAGATAATGGTCTATAGTTTTCTTGTATGTCTTGGTCTGGTTTTGATATCAAGGTAATAGAGAGAGTTGAGAAGTGTTCTCTCTTCCATTTTTGGAAGGTTTGAGAAGAATTGATATAAATGCTTGTTGAGCATTTGGTAGAATACACCAGTGAAGCCATCTGGGCCTTGGCTATTTTTTTTAATAGTGGGTGCATGGGGGCTGTTAATTACTAATTCAGTTCCTTTTTCTGTTATTGGCCTATTCAGATTTTCTGTATTCCTGAATCAGTTCCTTTTTTAAGATTATTTATTTATTTGAGAGGTAGAGTTACAGATAGAGAGAGGAAGAGACAGAGAAAAAGGTCTTCCATCCACTGGTTCACTCCCCAAATGGCCATGACGGCCAGAGCTGAGCCAATCCAAAGTCAGGTGCCAGGAGATTCTTCCGGGTCTCCCATGCAGGTGCAGGGACCCAAGCACTTGGACCATCTTCTACTGCTTTCCCAGGCCAGAGCAAGGAGCTAGATCAGAAGAAGAGCAGCTGGGACACAAACCAGAGCCCATACAGGATGTACCACAGGTGGAGGCCTAGCCTACTTTGCCACAGGGCCAGCTCTGAATCAGTTCAAGTAGGTTGTATATTTCTAAGAATTTGTTCATATCATCTAGCTTATCGAATTTGTTGGCACAAAAATTCATATTCCCTTATTCCATATCTGTGTAGTCAGTTGTGATGTCCCTTATTCATTCCTGATTTTAGTAATTGAGTTTTCTCTCTTTTGCTTAGTCTAGCTAAAGGTTTATTCATTTTTTTAAAGATTTATTATTATTTATGTATTTATTTGAAAGTCGGAGTTACGCAGAGAGTGGAGAGGCAGAGAGAGAGAGAGAGAGATCTTCCATCCGCTGGTTCACTCCCCAGTTGGCTGCAACGGCCAGAGCTGCGCCGATCTGAAGCCAGGAGCCAGGAGCTTCCTCCTGGTCTCTCACGCAGATGCAGGGGCTCAAGGACTCGGGCCATCTTTTACTGCTTTCCCAGGCCATAGCAGAGAGCTGGATTAGAAGTGGAGCAGCTGGGTCTCGAACTGGCACCCATATGGGATGTCGGTGCTTCAGGCCAGGGCGTTAACCCGCTGCACCACAGCGCCGGCCCCAGGTTTATTCATTTTGATATTTTCAAGGGACCAACTTTTTGCTTCATTGATTTTCTTTTTTTTTTTTTTTTTCTGTCCTCTATACTATTTCTTTCCTTCTGCTTCCTTTGGGTTTAGTTCATACTTCTTTCTCTGATTTTTTGGGTGGAAGTTTAGGTTCTTTTGGTGAAATCTTTCTTCTTTTTTTAATTGAGGCATTTATAGCTCTAAATTTCTCTTCTAAGAATTTACCCTAGTTACATTCCGTAGATTTTTATATATTGTATCTTCATTTTCATTCATCCCAATATATTTTCCCATTTCTCTTGTGATTTATCCTTTAGTTCATTGGTTGTTTAGAAGTGCATTCATTTCCTCAAATTTGTGAATTTCCTAAACTTCCTTTTGTTGTTCATGTCTAATTTAAGTCCATTGTGCTCAGGAAACACATTTTGTGTGATTTTTATCCCTTTTAAATTTATTGTGGCTTGTTTTATGACCTAATATATGGTTTATCTAGAATAATGTTCCATGTGCATTTGAGCAAAATGGATGTTCTGCTGCCATTAGGTGGAGTGTTCCACGGACTTGTGTTAGCTCTAGTTGGTTTATAATATTGTTCAGGTCCTTCATTTCCCTGTTGATCTTCTGCTTAGTTGTTTTATCCACTATAGAAAGTGAGATGTTCAAGTCTGTGACTTTTATTGTTGTATTGTCTATTTCTCTCTTCAATGCTGTCTGTTTTTGTTTTCGTATTTGGGGATGGGCCTCTGTTGTTAGAGGCCAGTGCTGTGTTTTTGCCATAGCTGTGAGCTCTAGTGAAAGGCAGTAATGGAACGTTGACTCTATCAAAGTGGAGTTAAAGTTCTTTTGAGGTCATGTTTGCCAGCATCATGACCACCAAGATGAGCTATAGGGTAATGGTTAAAACTGTGGGTTTTGGGGACTGGCATTGTGGTGCAGTGGGTTAAGCTGCTGCAATGCCAGCATCTCATATTGGAGTGCTGGTTTGAGTCCCAGCCACTCTGCTGCTGATCCAGCTCCTTGATAATGTGCCTGGGAAGGCAGCTGAAGATGACCCAAGTCCTTGAGCTCCCATGTCAGAGACTAGGATAAAGTTCCTGGCTCCTGGCTCCTGGCTTCAGCCTGGGCCAGACCTGGTTCTTGCTGCCACTTGGGGAGTGAATCAGCAGATGGAAGATCCCTCTGTCACTCTGCCTTTCAAATAAATAAATAAATCTTAAAAAAAAACATGGGTTCACACTTGTATTCAAGTTTGTACTGTCACTTCAGTCTTGGATCTGTTTCTTCCTCTCTGAAATGATGATAAAGCCTACCTCGTTGGGTTATTGTGATGATTAAATGAACCTAGGTTAGTGCTGAGAGCAGAGTGAATTGCCATTGTCTGAGTTTATTCTCAGATAACATGGGGAGGGTCTCCCAAAATACAGCAAGATAGAGAAGCAATTCAGAGATTAAGTATTTGCTATGGATGGTTCTCAGATGAACACACCTACCATCATTAAGAGCTGATTATAAGAGGATTTGTGCCACGTGTCTGCATGGAAGGCAGGGCTGGCCCTGCACGAATCTAGAAAAGTGATAAGATTTGAAGAATTATCGCTTCTCCGTCTTTTGGCTAAGATCAAGTGTAGATTTGAAGAATTAGCAGACTGCTCCCTTACATGGAGAGCAGGCCCTGTCTCCAGTACTCCTGACACATTCAGATAGCCAGAATTGTACTAGGAGAGCCTATTCTTGTAGGGTGCCTCCATGGCCTTTCTCTTTGAAATGCAAACTCTTCGTCTTTGCATGTAGCCTGCTTGACGCTTTTGCACCGAAGCCTTAGCAACTTGTCAGATTTAGTTCCTTCGCCTAGAAGAGATCCAAGATCACTGAAGAGCAACAGAGCACTGGCAGTCGGAAAGGCTCTGAAAGGGGTGGGGGGACAGGAGCAGCGACCGTTCCAAAGGGGGCATAAAACAAGTCACACCTCTTTAAGTACATTTACAGCTGACTTTCAGAGAAGGTACACCCGTGTAAGGCTCCAGCTGGGCCGAGATACCAAGGTGTTTGTCACACCTGACCACATGCCTTCCCCCGGAGGCGGAGGCGATGGGGCCACCAGCAGCTCGGGCTGTTAGGTTCTCCTCCCTCGGCTCTCAAGGCCAGCTAGTAGTGCTTTCTCTTGGTCCCTGTCACCCAGCTGTGCTGCAGGGACAAGGGCCAGATGCCAAGGGAGCTCAGCCACAATCCTCAGCTCCAGGGCTCATCTGTTGATTCTCTTTCTGGGTTTAGATTACATGCACAGCGCCAACCGCCCTGTCACTGGGGGCCACCTGGGGAAAAAGGAGAGTAGTTATGTGGGCAGCGTGGGCACCAGCCCCAGGAAGTCGAGCCGCTGCACGCCCTCGCCTGCCGACTCTGAGCTTGTCAGCTTCTGCTACCTCCACATGCGGGAACAAAGGAAGGAGCCGGAAAGCCGGGCGGATGTCAACGAGAACTTAATGTTCTTCGAGGAGACCAGGCCCAGGACCAAGTCTGACCCCACATCCAAAAGCTCTGGCCAAGGTTACGAGGTGGTCCCTGATGACTTTGATGCAGCCAGCCTAGACCACGAGCCTTGTGCCAGCAGGGCCCGGTCTTACACCTTGGACAATTCCCTTGGGGCCGAAGCCCTGAATTTCTACTGTGACTCTTGCAAAGCCAAACTCCAAGAGCAGCTGGGCCCTCGCAAAGGTGGGAGGCCTGGCTCCTCTCGTGACAACATGGTAGACTTGATGTCCCTCCCACCACCTGGGAGTGAGGAAGAGGAGGAGGAGGAAGATGAGACAACTTCTCTGTTGCCTGCCATTGCTGCCCCACCCCCAGGTTTCCGAGACAACAGCTCTGATGAGGATGACCCCAAGCGCCGAGCTGTCCAGAGCCAGGAGCAGGGACGCCATCTGCGTGGGCTTCTGTACGATGAGATACCGGTGACATTGATTGACAGCGTGCAGACGCGGACAGTCCGAGATCATGCCCAGGAGCTGGATGATGCCTTGGTGTCCACTCTGCAGGCTCTGGAAGCCCTGGCTGCTTCAGAGGACGGACCGCACCCCCCACCCCCACAGACTGCAGGTAACAGGCCGTTCCTCCTCCCTCTTGCCTCCCCTTCCTTCTCCTGGCCAGGAAGGGCCAGCAGGTGACACTGCTTTCTCCCAAGCAGATCTCCAAGCCACTGTGGTGTGTCGGGCAGTGGATGGGCCTTAGGTAGTTCAGGTGGGGTCAACAGAGCAACGATGCTGTGGCAGAGGCTGGCTCTCAGCTCTAACTAGAGCACCAGCTCCCTCCATTCCTTGTCTTTGGAAATGTCTTGCAGATGGATCCCAGGGACTGGGGCCATGACAGCCACGGAGCCAGACAGGATGCAGCAGCAGAGGAAAATTGTGAGAGATATAGAAGACAGGCAAAGAACATCAGCATGCACATGATTGGAAGAAAAACAAAACAGCCAACTATCCGTCTAGTCACCTGGGATCAGGGAGCCAAGAGCCATCACTGCTCAGGGTTGAGGTCTTTATTCTGCCTAGGAGCGTGGGTCAGATGCACCTGAATCGTGGTTTCTTCACTCACTGTCAGTGTGACCTTTGACAAGGCCCTTACTTCCTCTGAACCTCACTTGGGTCATCTTAAATGGGTTTGATAACAATAATCATGTCACAGAGGGTTCTGGTGAGGATTAAATGAGATCATTCCTGCAAAGCACTTCAGCGCTGCCTAGCACACAGTAAGGACTCAGAAAACTATTGTTAAGCATCACCTGCTAGGAGAACCATGCAACATGCATGCTCTTCCCTGCTCTAGACATACGTACATTCATCTGTCTCCTAGACAAATGCACATGTCACACATGTACCCATAGTCACACTTATGTACATCCATGCACATACATCTTTTCTAAAAAGGAGATCAGTGACCAGCATCAGCAAAGAAACAGGAAGGAAGGACTATGAGGAGGAGTGTGAGGGCAGGGGAAGTGTGGGCAGAGAGTTGAAGGGACTGGGGCTGGAAGCAGCCTGCCTTTTCTGCATGTGAGGGCGCCCTTGGTGTTGGGCAGCCCCCTTGTGTCGGGCCCCCAGGGCCGCCATTCCTCCTTGTTCAGCGTCTGGAGCTCCAAAGCACCAGCTGCTCCCAGGCTCAAGGCCCGAAAACAAGCTCCGCTTAAATGGCCTCAGCTGCAAGGACTCTGGGTGGGCCTGGCCAGATGAGGGGGGGACCTCTCTTTGCCAGCCCCTTCAGGACAATTAGCAAAAATTTCCTAGCTGTTGAATCTAAAAATAGCATTGATTAGCATGTTGGTTTGCATGTAATTTGCATGGTAATTCACCACCAAACTGTCCGGATCTTCTCTTTGCCTCTCTTGTTTTCTCTTTTGGATTCCAGCCTCTCATACCCTTTCTCCCAGCTTGCCTTTCTTTGTCCCTCCAGCCAACTCCTCCCACACTCAGCCCTGCACCTCCCTTGGGCCTGCCTGGCTTTCCCCAGCTTGAAAAAAGTGCTCACTGACCCTGGCCTCCAGGACGTCTCTGCCGCTGATTGGAAAGGCACTTGAAGTCAGTTCAGTGTAACAGGTGCCCTCCCTGTTCCTCCAGGTCTGATTGTGCTGGCCACAATTACTCCTGAATCCTCGCTGGACTCGGGCCACGAGACCAACTCTTCGGAGCTCACTGACATGTCGGAGATGATGTCGGCCATGAAGCAGCACCAGAACACCACCTACTTTCTGGCCCAGCACCTCAACAAGGAGAGCCTCCTTTCCCGCAAGGACCTGCCCTTCCGAATCCAGAGCTGTGCCGCCCAGGCCGTTCTCACGGCCCCTTACTCACTCGGACGCCCGGATCCCAACCCATCCCTGCAGCCAGCTGTCACGGGCCAGAGTCCAGGTCCCCCTGGCGCTCGGCGGAAGCTGCCCCAGTCAGAGGCCCAGGCGCAGGGAGAGCGAACATACTCCCTGGCGGTGCACCCCGCCCTGTCCCCGCAGCTAAGTGAGCAGAAGAATCTGAGCCTGCTGTCCCCAGTCCCTGAGGACCAAGGGCCTGGCCACGGTAGGGCGGGTTTGGAGATGTCCCGGAGGGCACCCACACCATCCCTCAGTGACGAGCAGGTCTCAGAGCTGAGGGAGAAACTGCCCAAGGAGCTCAGGTTGAGCCCCAAGCTTATCCTGGACCCCAAAGGCAGTGTGGCCCCAGCCATCATCTCAGCCGCCCTGCAACAGGTGGTTCACAGCAAGAGTCTGGCCAGCCCTGGCGGGGCCTTGGGAAACGCCCCTAGCAGGGAGGAGAGAAGGCTGGAGGACAGCACAGGGAGGCCGGAGGTCAGCAGGGCAAGGGCAGACGTTGGCATGGGGAGTGGCAATGCCAATAAGAATCTGAAGTTCCACGTGAGCCCCAGCGCCGCAGAGGTCTCGCGCAGTTCCCAGCAGCAGCTCGGCCCGGAGGTGTCTCCCAGCGCCAGAGCACCCGCAGGCAGCCGGGCTGATGGCCCCCACCTCTCCCCGCCAGAAGACAGGATGCCTGTTCAGAGTTACCCTTCCAAAAGCTATCTTCTGCGAGCAAGTCGAGAATCGGTGGGCAAGCCAGCTGCAGGGGAGGGGGCGGGCAAGGGCGGGTCAGAGGGTACCAAGCCTGCCCTGCACAAACAGGGCACTGCCTCCAGCCAGGGTGACCGGGGGCAATTGGAGAGCACACCCAAAAGCAGCAAGCTCGAGGAGACCAGTCTGGTGCCCCGGGCTGGCTACCCCGTGGCTCTGCAGAGCCCCAGCTGCCAGCCGCGAAGCCACAGCCCCAGCT